CGGGGGAGACGGTGCATGGCTTGCAGATGCTCACGAGTCCGGAGCATTGGGGAAATCTGGGGTCACTTTTTTCGGGGACAGAGAGGAGCGAGCTGTTTCACCTGAAACGACATCCTAAGCGGGTGGGAATCGTGGAAGGTTGCGATGGGACTGAGGAAGACAGGACCTGCGATATTGTGATTTAGAAGCAATATACATGTGTTCATTCGGATGGTCATAATGTATTTCCCTTGTGTATTTGGTCTTGATCCACAGTTGTAGACTCACAACTGCAAGGACACTTGGAATTTCCTAAGTGTTGAGAGTGATTGTGTCTTGTAATGTGAGTGAGCTGACTTGTGGAAGCACTTCAGAATGGGAGCTGATTACCAGGAGAACCAATTTTAGGATTAGAGGGCTGCCTGTTTCAGTCCCACCTCACGCCCCTTCAGGGAGAGGAGAGGGTCTGGACGTTGAATCTGGTTCCCATAGCCAAGTGTTATTATTATTATTTTAAAAATAGTTTTATATATTTTTGGCAGTTTTGGGTCTTCCTTGCTGCCCACTGGGCTTTCTCTAGTTGCGGCGGCGGCGCGGTGGGGTGAGCGGGAGCTACTGTTCCGTGCGCAGGCTTCTCAACTGCAGTAGCTTCTCATATTGGGAAGCACGGGCTCCAGGGCTGTGCAGTACTAGCCACACGTGGGCTCAGTAGCTGTGGTTCCCAGGCTCTAGAGTGCAGCTCAGTGCTTGTACCACACGGCCTTAGTTGCTCCGAGGCCTGTGGGGTCTTCCCGGATCAGGGATGGAGCCCGCGTTTCCCCGCATTGGCAGGCGGATTCATTACCACTGACCCACCAGGGAAGCCCCCAAAGAGAATTATTGAATCAGTCATGCCTGTGTAATGAAGCCATTAAAAACCCCAAAAGGCCAGGGTTCGGAAAGCGTCCGGGTTGGCAAGATAGGGAGGCGCTGTTGAGGTGGAGTTCTCAGAGAATGTGGACGCTCTCTTCCACCTGGCTGTTCTTGAGCTGTGCCCTTTTATCATCAACCAGTGATCTAGTAAGTAAAGTGTTCTTTTCATTTCTGGGACCTGTACTAACCGTTTATTCAAGCCCAAGGAAGGGGTCTTGGGAATGTGTGATTTATACTCTGCGGGTCAGAAGCTCAAGTGAGGGCCTGGGCTTGGGACTGAAATCTATAAGTGCTAGGGGCAGTTTTGTGGAGCAGAACCGTTAACCTGTGGAATACTAACTGTTTCCGGGTACACAGTGTCAGAATGAAGTTTAATTTTTGAGCGCCCTGCTGCTGCCTGAGGATTGCTTAGTTTTGTGTGGGATGCCTGCCCCCCATTGGCACTGGATCCAGGAACCTAATTTAGGGGCCTATCCAGATTTGAAGTATACAGTTGTTTTTTTTAAAAATGGATGAGGTATAGAGTCAGGGAGGCTGGTGAGGAGGATGTGGTCAAAGAATTCAGGAGAATTGTGACAGGAATTTGGATTGAATTGGCAGAATTTCTTCCTGCAACACAATGGCTGTGAGTAGAGAATAGAAGACCACCCCAGTTTTTTTCCCCTGAACATTTAAGTAATGGTGATGAGGAAGTCCATGCAGTGAATGGGATTCAGGAAGGAGATCATGAGTTGTATTTGGATATGGTTATTCTGAGACATTTTGATATGGAGATGTTAGAAGATGGAGACATTTTGTGGGTAGAGGAGTATAAAGGTCTGGAGGACTGGGAAGGTCACTGGTCTGGTCCTTTCCAAGGGGTGTACTGTGTGGACTGGACCAGTTGTAGCCTGGTGGTCAGACTGAAGGAAGAGAGTTGTTGTTATTTCAGATGGTTTCCATGGTAAGGTGTGTGAGGTCTGAGAATGGAGGTGAGGGCACAAATGGGTGTAGGAGGGAGCAGCCCTGCTGTAGGATGGATTCTGACCTGTGTTTGCCATCCTGGTGGACTCGGGAGCTGACCTGGGAAGGAGGTTGAGTGGTGAGTTGGTGTAGATTCTTTCCACTGCAGGCTTCATAGGCCCTCAAAACCACTCCCTGTAGAACATGGCAGAGGTCACCTGGGCTACTGGAGTAGCTGGTCCCAGACCAGGGCACTGCCTCATTTCCTCCAGCCCTCAAAGCAAGAGGGGTGGTGCTCTGTACAGCCCAGGGCTCCCTGCAGCTCCCTCCAGGGCACTGTGTTACAGGCAGGCTCGAAAGGGCTAGAAGCTGATCCACTTGCTCAGAGCCTTCCTGCGCCTCACTAACTTAAGAGCACATGACACACTTACTGATTTAAACACCAATGAACCGACATACTCCAGATATTCACATGTAGGTAGGCCATTAGAAATGAGCCTATTGAATTAGTTAAATTTATCCAGACACTTAATTGTTGGTTTGCATGATAATATACATTTACGTATTTGCTTACAATGTGAAATTTTACTTGTCACATCCTCATAAACCTTAAAAAGTAGGAAAAACACACACCCAAATTTCAAAACTGTACCGATTCATTTGCACTGAAAGTGTACACAAAAGCCTTGATTGTGTGAATGGCGCCACTGACACACAGTATGTACTGCTTATGTTTGATACCAGTCTCCGGCCTCTGAATTGAAACCATCCTTATTCTCCTTTTGCAGATGGAGACACTGAGGCCCTTGTGCCTTCTAAAATACTGACTTGGTGTGTGAGAGTTTGACCATGGAGGGGTTCCCAGGTGGTTCAGTGTAAAAGAATCCGCCTGCCCATGCAGGAGATGCAGGAGATGTGGGTTCAATACCTGGGGTGGGAAAATCCCCTGGAGGTGGGCATGGCAACCCACTCCAGTATTCCTGCCTGGAGAATTCTACGGACAGAGGAGCCTGGCAGGCTGCAGTCCATGGGGTCACAAAGAGTCGGACACAACCGAGTGACTGAACGCTCATACATGTCAGACCACAGATTCCAAAGTAGGGGAGATATAAACACATTTGGTGGTTAGTTTGGCCCTGGAATTGGTGGATGAAGAATAGACCAATACAAAATGGAAGGAAATACAGCACATGCAGCTGCTTATGGGGTGAACTGTCTTAATTTTTATTACAGGGCTTTGTGGTCTTTGAGGACGTGGCTGTATATTTCTCCCAGGAGGAGTGGGGACTTCTTGATGAGGCTCAGAGACTCCTGTACTGTCAAGTGATGCTGCAGAACATTGCACTTTTGTCCTCCATAGGTAAGGCCCCCCTGCCCACTGCAGCATCCTGGGCTGGGCTCTGCTCTTCATCACTTTCTAAGGGTGCCTCTGACCTTCCTACAATTGATTCTCATTCTGTAGGTTGTTTTTTCTGTTTCATTTATGGTTTCCTTTGTTGTGCAAAAGCTTGTAAATTTGATTAGGCCCCATTTCTTGATTTTTGTTTTTATTTCTGTCACATTGGGAGACTGACCCAAGAAAACATTGGTCTGATTTATGTCAGAGAATGTTTTGCCTATGTTCTCTTCTAGGAGTTTTATGGTGTCATGACTTATGTTTAAGTCTTTAACCCATTTTGAATTAGTTTCATGTCTGGTGAGAGTGTTCGTTCTACTTCATTGATCTACCACTGGATTGTTTAGACACTCCTTTGATGTCCTTGTATTGATCATTTTAGAGTGTGGGATTTCGTACAGTGGACCCCATCCCCCTCCCAGTCTTTCCTCTTTGAGTGATCTCTTCAGGCCCAGATGGTTGCTTACCCTGAGCAATAGGAGGGCCCTGGGTGCCTGACAGGGTGGATGTTATTTCCATAAGGTCAGGAGAGGTTCGAGGGCACATGGCCCTGGTACCTGGGGATGAGGAAATGGTGAGATGTCAGAGCTGGGGTCCTGTCACACCAGGATGTGTCCTGTATCCAGCAGTGTGTGGTGCCAGAGCACACCTCGCTTCCTCCTTTTCTTCCCCATTGATTTTTTGACTCTTCACTTCTGGCCCTGGCTCTCACCTGTTCCTTTCCACTGCTCCTTTTGCAGTGTTCTCAACATAACCTCCATTAAAAGTGGTGGAACATGTGCATGCATCCTTAAATACTCCTTGTAGTCCAGCTGCCACATTGCATTTAGACATTTGTCTGGACAGAGCCTTGTATTCATTGCTCACCAGTAACCAGTAGCCAGGCCTTGTTCAAGTGAGTTGTAGACCTTCCTCCCCTCCCTGCACCATACTCCTTCCTCCTGTCCTTGTCAGTCATCTGGGCTCTGCCCTCAGATGAGCCTCCCAGGCTCTACTCTGCACCCCAGGCCTTCCTCACATGGGCTCTGCAATCCCACAGACTTATCACTGGGCCGGTCTGAGACACACTGATGGGACTGCCTTTATCAGCATCTCTCCTTCCAGGTTGTCGGCATGGCACTCAGGATGAGGTGGCCCTTTCAGAGCTGCGTGATGCGGCTGCAAGGTCACAGGTCAAGACTCCAAAGCCAGGCCCATGCATCCAGAAGCCTCACCCATGTAAGACGTGCGGCCCACTCTTGAAAGACACTTTGTGCCTGGCTGGGCACAGTGGGACACAACCTGAGCAGGAGGTGTCCACATGTGGGGAGAGTCCTTCCCAGCATCCAAAGGAGCCACATCAAAGGAGACTCCCTAGATGGGGTGAGGGGAAGACTTTCTGTATGAAGAATGACAGTGTTCATGTGACAGATCAGACCTGGCCATGTCAGGTGAGAGGGCAGGAGTTCCTAGCCCGATCCAGCATTCTCCAGCACCAGGCCCCTCACACGGAAGGGAAACTGCACAGTGACATGGAGGGAAGGGCAGCCTCTGAAAGTGGACAGAATGATGACAAGCGCAGTGAATGTGGGAAGACCTTTAGCCAAGAACACACACTTGTTGAGCACCAGAAAAACCTTTGCTGTGAAAGCGGGAAGACCTTCATCAGAAGGTTCCACCTGGTTCAGCAGCAGAAAACTGACACTGAGACAAGATTCTCTGAGCAGCTTGGATGTGGAAGGTTCTCTGCACAAAAGTCTGGCTTCACTGCACACCATAGAGTTCACACTAGGTCAGTGCCTTATGAGTGTAGCCAGTGTGGGAAGTGTGTTAAGGACAGCTTCACACTCACTGTTCATCAGAGAGTTCACACAGGAGAAAAGCCATATAAATGCAGCGAATGTGGAAAATTCTTTAGGTACAGCTTCACACTCAAAAGACATCAGGGAGTTCACATTGGAGAAAAACCATATGAGTGCAGTGTGTGCAAGAAATTTTTTGTAGACAGCTCCAGGCTCATTATTCATCAGAAAGTTCACACTCGGGGAAGGCGTTTTGAATGCAGCAAATGTGGGAAATTCTTTAGGTACCGCTTCACACTTGAGAGGCATCAGAAAGCGCACATTGGGGAAAGGCCTTATGAGTGCAGCGTATGTGGGAAACTCTTTAGGCATAACTCAAATCACATTAGGCATCGGAGAAATCACACCGGAGAAAGACCTTATGAGTGCAGTGTATGTGGTAGACTCTTCAGTCAAAACTCCCACCTCATTCGGCACCAAAACGTCCACACCAGAGAAAAAACTTATGAATGTAGCAAATGTGGGAAATTCTTTATGGACAGCTCCACCCTCATTATTCATCAGAGAGTCCACACTGGAGAAAAGCCTTATGAGTGCAGAGAATGTGGGAAAGTCTTTAGGTACAACTCCAGCCTCATTAAACATCGGAGAGTTCACACTGGGGAAAGGCCTTATGAATGTGTCAGCTGTGGGAGAGGCTTTAGCCAAAACTCCCACCTCCTTCGACATCAAGAAGTTCACACTAAAGAGTATTGCAAACAGGGGAAGACTTCAAAGCAAAGTCTGGTCTGATTTAGCACTGGGATGGACTGCTATCTAGGTGTTTAAAATTTTTTAATTGTTGTGAAGTATATGTAACATAGAATTTACAGTCAACCATATTTAAGTGTAAGTTCAGTAGTAATAATACACTCACATTGTGCACAAATATTCAAAAGTCTTTTCATGTTATAAAACTAAACCCATTAGACAGCAACTCTTTGTCCCCCCTCTTATTGACTGATAATAACTATTCTGCTTTCTGTGTATGAATTTGTTCTCACTGAGTAACTTATCTAAGAGTCATCAAGTTATTCTTCTTTTTTGGCTGGCTTATTTAACTGAGCATAATGTTCTTAGGGTTCCTCCATGTTCTAGCATGTGTCAGAATTTCATTCCTTTTTTGAGTAATGCTCCATCTTCTGTACATCCTACTTTTTCTGTTTCCTTTCATCATTGGGCACTTGAGTTGCTTTCCCTATTTGGCTGTTGTATGCTGTTATAAATATGATGGCATAAATATTTCTTTGAGGCCTTACTTTCAGTCCTTTTAAGGTATATTCCCAGACATAGAGTTTTTGGACCATATAGTAATTCAATATTTACATTTTTTTAGGAACTGAGGGGCTGTTTTCCATGGTAGCTGGACTGTTTTACATTGCTGCAGCTCGAGGTTTCCAATTTCTCTACACCCTCAGCAGTGTTTTTATTTTCTTCTTGCTTTATTTTTTATAACACTATCCTAAGGGACACGAGATGATATTTCACTGTGATTTTGATTTGCATTTAATGATGTTGAACAGTTTTTCATCTGCTTGTTGGCTGTTTGTATTAGTCCTTTGAGAAAATGTCTCTTCCAATCCATTGCCCATTTTTTAATGTGATTATTATGGTCATTGTTATTGTTATTTAGATGTTGGAGTTCTTTATATATTCTGTGTATTAACTTCTTATTAAATAGTTTGCAAATATTTTCTTCCACTCTGAGGGTAGTCTTTTCACTGTGTCGACTTAGTAATTTTTTTTTGCACAGAAATTTTAAATATTAGTGTAGTCTAGTTTATTTCTGTTAATGTTGCCTGCCTTTGTTATCATGTCCAAGAAATTATCACAAATCCACTGTCATGAAGCCTTTTTCTTATGTTTTCTTCTCAGAGTACTATGCTTTTAAACCTTAATGTTTAGGTCTTTCATCCATTCTGCATTTCCTTTCTCTTTTTTTGGCCACATCACACAGCCTGCGGTATATCAGCTTCCAACTAGGGACTGAACCCAGGCCACAGCAGTTTTGTTAAAAACCAAGAACAGATTTCTGTGCTCTCTTGCTTTCTCTGCTGCCCTTGTGGCTCAGCTGGTAAAGAATCTGCCCGCAATGTGGCAGACCAGGGTTCAATCCCTGGGTTGGGAAGATCCCCTGGAGAAGAGAAAGGCTACCCACTCCAGTATTCTGGCCTGGAGAATTCCATGGACAGTCCATGGGGTCGAAAAGAGTTGGACACAACTGAGTGACTTTCACTTTCACTTCACTTTCACTTGCTTTATCTGGAGTATCACCAGCCATTTGAGCCCTTTGCTAAGAATTCGTGCCCCACCCCCTTGGTTGGTTACAGTGTGAACATCACCCAGCTTTGCCAGAGGACTGGATCTGACTTTGCTGGCAGTTTTCAGAGGTTTCCCTTGTTCAGGGTCATTAGTGATTGTCTCCTGATAATCTTGACAGATTTTTCCAGCCTCCATTTTACCCACTCCTCAAACTCCAGGCTAACCTTCCTGGTTCTTGCAATAAAGGTCTTTTTTTTTTTTTTTTAATTGAAGTATAGTTCATTTACAATGTTGGGTTATTTACTGCTGTACAGCAAAATGACTAATTATACATATATATTCCTTTTTAAAAATATCCTTTTCCAGTATGGTTTATCTATGAATGGGGTATTAAATAGAGTTCCCTGCACTTTACTGTAGGACCTTGTTGTTTATCCATTCTATGTATAAAAGTTTACATCTGCTAATCCTAACTTCCTATTCCATTCCTCCCCTCGGTCTTATTGTTTAAGCTATCTTTACTCTTTAACTTTGTATGCCCTAAAGGAAATAGCAGGAGGACAACGAACAGCTCTCAGTGCAAATCTGGACTACTTGTATTGCTTCCTGAGACTTCCTAGGAAAATCTGAAGGGGCCCCTGCACCAGGATCTCATGCCCTAGACATGAAAATTATCTGTGGATCCACAGTCACTTGGGGAAAATGGTTTGCAAACAGTGGTATTTGGCAGTAGGCATTTGGCTGGGTATTTGGTTGGGGCCCTTGAATTTAGTGGATTGTCCCATGGCAAAATTGAGAGACAGCTGTCTTCTGAGATCCACCATAGGAGCTGTGTGTCCTGAGGAAAAAACTCATGTAGGTATATGTCCATGGACTTAAGATCTAAGAAGGCCTAGGGTGGGAACCATATTGTGTACAGAAACAGTGACTGGATTAATAGAGACTGGGGGAGATCGCAGCAATGTAGAATGGATAAAGTGAAGTCGCTCAGTCGTGTCCGACTCTTTGCGACCCCGTGGACTGTAGCCTACCAGGCTCCTCCGTCCACGGAATTTTCCAGGCAAGAGTACTGGAGTGGGTTGCCATTTCCTTCTCCAGGGGATCTTTCTGACCCAGGGATCGAACCTGAGTCTTCTGCGTTGCAGGCAGACGCTTTACCATCTGAGCAACCAGGGAAGCCTTTTAGAATGGATAAGCCCCTTCCAAATGGGCATGTGTTCCAGTAACTAGGTAAGTGGGAAGAGAATATACAGAATGAAGGACCTACAGTCCAGTCCGTGGAAATCTAGGTGCATCCCCTTTAAGAAATCTGAAAGCCACAAGGCTTCCTGTGTAGCTTAGACAGTAAAGAATCTGCCTGCAATGCAGGAGACCTGGGTTTGATTACTGGTTTGGGAAGATCCTCTAGAGAAGAAAATGGCAACCCACTCCTGTATTCTTGCCTGGAGAATCCCCATGGACAGAGGAGCCTGGTAGGCTACAGTCCATGGGGTCGCAAGAGTCAGACACGACTTAGAGACTAAACCACCACCACCACCACAGTCCAGTCCATGGAAATCTGGGTACATCCCCTTTAAGAAACCTGAAACCCCGCCCGTGCCTGGAGCCTAAGGATCCTCCTCTCCAGCAACTCTTCCGTGGTGTGGGGGGAACCTTTTCTGGATCTGGGGAGCATCGCCCTTTACCTGGACCTGGGATCCAGTGAGCTACTTTACCCAGAAGGCATTGCGCCGAACCTGTCACAGGATCACTAAGACTCAGGCACTTCCGTTCTGGAGGACGATGTTTGGGCGGGTCTGTTGGTGTGCACCCGCGGGTGACATTTTGTAAATACGGATGTGTTTACTTGGTGGGGAGCTTGGAAACGGTGGACCAGCCCGACATCTGGGAGGTGGGAAGCCTGCCCCTTCTGCTTCTCTGAGGCGGGCACGAGGCAGTCTCACTCCATGTGCCCATTCTGCAGCAATAAAGATTCAACTGCAGAGTGGTATTAATATAGAGACTCGGTTTGGAGGCCTTTTTTCTTCGTTCCCCAACTGATCAAAAGGCCAGGCACTGCTACAGTAGAATTTAAATCTCTTCTTTTTTAACCCTTCGATTTTGAAGAATTTCCAATTCTTAAGGATACACTCCAAGGGCGCTTCTTCTGGCTTAGAAGGGGATCCGCCCATGTTGAATAACCTGCAACTGAGAACTGAGGGTCACAGTGTTGTCACAGGTCACCATGGAAATAGGGGGCACGTTGCCTTTACCGGGAGGTCTGGCGCTTCGGGACACAGTTTCTCCCCGACCTTTCCGCCTCCATCCGCCTCTGCAGCTATCAGGGAGAACCAGAAACGTGCCCTTTCCCTGGTTGGATGGGGTGCACAAACTCCTTAACCTAGAGGTCTCTGCCCAGCGCATCCGCGCTGTGCCCGTGGCCGCCCAGAAGATGGGCGTTTCCGGAAGCCCTTGCAAGCAGAGGGGATTTCTGGCGTCGCGATTGTGACGTCTTTTGCTGGTGGCCGGGATCCTCGAGTTGCTGTGTAGGCTGGGAGTCCACACTGGGGTCCGCTTTTGGGGAGGCTCTGGAGAGGCGAACATAGGACAGGAAAAAAGATGGTACTTCCGTCCGCTTGGTTATTACGAACCATGGTCGCTGTCGTGGGACGGGCAGCCTATCGCGGAGCTGTCGCCTGGGGCTGCGCTCCTTCGGGGGCCTTCTCAGCCGCCCTCTGTCCTCATCCACCTCGAGGCAGCATCCTGAGCTTCTGCGCCTTTTGACCAGGAGGAGATCGGGGATCGGGGCTCGACCGTTCTCTCGGGCCCACCACACCCAGGGGAGTGTGCGGGTTCCGCCGGCTTTTCAACACGGCTCTGCTCACAGGACCCCATGGCGGCTGCCGCGCTTATGAACTGGGCTCAGGTGAGTGGAGAGTCCTCAAGCCTTCCCGACTCAGGTGGGGGGATGGTGTATTCTCGGGCTTTCCGAACTTGGCCTTCGCTCACTTCCCGAGTATGAAGGCGGTGAAGGGTGGTCAGTGACGGTGAACATGTGGCAAGGAATCCCTTAGCGGTGTTGACGGGATGAGGTGCGGGAAATGGTTTCCAGGATTTAGGAGCCCCAGGTACAAGCACCTGGAGGTGAGGATGAATTAGGCGCGTTCTGGAAACGGCAGGTCTCTGCGGTTATGTGTGCTGAGAACAGAGAGCAGGCAGTCAGGAGTCCGAACTGGTATGGCAGCCTGGGGAGCTGGACCTCTATTCCGACGGTGATGGGAACCACGGAAGGTTTATAACAGAGAAGGGAGGTGGTCTGTCGTCAGTGTTGACAGGCTCCCTCTAAGTAGAGTGGAAAGATTGGGGAAGCCTGAGGGTGGCAGGGAGACCAGGCGGAATCGACTGCAATAGCCCAGGTGTGTTGATGGTGGGGTCAAAAGTGGGCGTTAGAGAAGTGTTTGGATTTTGTATGTTTTTAAACTAGGGCCGGTGGAGATTTTGTGATGAGAAGTAGTGATGTTCTGAGACTCTTCACCTGTCCCTCCCTCTGCACTTGAGTCTGGGGCCCTTTCAGAAGGAGTCCTTTCTAGCCCAGCACCCTGAATCTAAGCCAAGAGTTATATGAAGAGGTTCCTGCTTTGGGCAGCCAGTAGGAGTAAGACTGAACAGGTGTATTAGACTCAGGAAGAGCTTGCACAAGTGCTTAAGAGGTTAAGATTGAGTTGGGAGTCATCAGGGAACCACAGGTCTTCATTCTGTCTGTTGAGAAAAGGGTCAGAAGTTGGGCAACAATAGCAGGCTGAGGAGCTGTGCTTCTGTTTTGAAGGTGATGAAAGACATGAGCTTCCCGGATGCCTCAGTGGTAAAGATTCCACCTGCAGTGTAGAAGATGCAAGAGACACGGGTTTGATCCCTGGGTCAGGAAGATCCCCTGGAGGAGGGAATGGCAACCCATTCCCGTAGTCTTGCCTGGGAAATCCCATAGACAGAGAAACCAGGTGGGCTGCAGTCCTTGGGGTCCCAAAGAGGCAGACACGACTAAGTGAACCTGTAGCATGCACAAAAGACATGGAAGATTTGGAAGAGAAGAGAGAATTAAATCAAAATGGGCTCCCTCTGGCTGCTGTCTAGTTGAGAATTGAGTGTGTGCATGAGGGAGGAGGCTACAGCAGTGGTCCACAGAAGTGTTGATGGTGGCAAAGAAAGTCCCAGCTGGGCACTGAGGACTGGGTGTCTTGCTCAGGCACTGGGGTGGCAGTGGAGCCTGTCAGACACAAAGGAGTTCCTCCTGGATTCTGTGTGCAGGGTGGCTTCAGGGGTGGGCCGAGCCTTGGAAGTGTGGACTGGAACGTTTTCAGTCTTAATGGGGGGGACCCCAGATACGAGGGAGGTGTGGTTCAGAGTGAGGTTCATGGTGGGAGGAGCGTGGACTGATGGCCTTAAAGTTGTGTCTGGGAGGCATGGTCAGGGGGATGCCAGCGGGAGAGTGTTTGGTGCCCTTCCTGCTGGACCCAGGGCTTTCATGGTCTGTCTGCCCACCTTCCTGATTTTGCTCTGGGCTGCACACAGTGGTCAGAGGGACAGGAGAGGGCACCCAGGAGTGGTGTCACGGCTGAGTATCACCTCCAAGTTGGGAGGCTGGGGAGCATTGGAGCCAGGGGGTGGGAGGTGAGTGGAGGCCTGGGGAGTCCTGTTGTCTGTGGGCTCAGCTGTCCCCATCGTGGCAGGGCGGTGTGACCTTTGAGGATGTGTTCGTGTACTTCTCCCTCGAGGAGTGGGAGCTGCTGGAGGAACCTCAGAGACTCCTGTACCGCAGTGTGATGCTGGAGAACTTCGCACACGTGGCTGCCTTGGGTAAGTCCCCGTTTCAGTTACCCATTGGTACATGTCAAACTACTCCAGAAGTGAGTGACATAAAACAATACAAAGGGTAAAAAAATAAAAATAAATAAATAAATAAAACAATACAAAGGCCTTATGTAAGCTTCACTGTGTCACGAGCTCGTTACAGCTGATGTTTTTGGCTCAGGATCTCTCATGAGGCTTTAGTCAAGCTCCCAGCCAAACTGTTCTCATCTGAAGGCCACTCTTGGGAGGATCTCATTCACAAACTCACTCATGTTTTGTGTTTCCAAGAGGTCGTTTCTTGTGGCTTGTTAGACTGTAAGGCTGTTGGTCAGACGCCCTCTGGCTTCCTTGTCACCGTAGCCTTTCTGTAGCACATCTCACAGCAGGGAAGGAACTTTCTCTCTGAGCGGAGAGAATGTTCAGGATGGTAGCTGGTCTTTTTCTAATCCGGCCTGGAAACCATCATTTTTCCCTGTTTTGTTCTTAGAAATGGGTCAGTCAGTGCAACCTCCGGTCAAGGGAAGTGGCTCACACAAGGGCAAGAACACTGGGTGACAGGTCTTCCTGGGCCATCGGAGAGGCTGCCTGCCCCAGGCCCCCCACTGCCACGCCTGCTGCAGTGTCCTTGGGTTTTTTCCCTGGTGCCCTGGGGGCAGTTCTTCCTGTCCTGCCAAATCAGGGGCTCTTCCCCGTCCCGTCTTGGTTCCCAGGGTAGGGGCTGTGGATGCCCAGGGCTGTGTGTAGTGTCCCCTCGCTGAGCAGTCTGACACCTGCTGCCCAAAGCCTTTCTGGATCAGGTTAGGAGTTCAGGGCTCTTGAGTTGGCTTCACAGATTCTCCCTAGCTTGGGCACTTCCAGATCCATGATGCGTCTGTGTCTATGTTCTGCCCCCATCCTCTGGCTGACAGTCTCAGGGACTGACTTTGCCAGAAATTGTAGCTATTGACATGTCACTGCTTGTGGAGGGCATGGGGTGTTCTGCCAAATCCTCCTTTGTGGTTTTTTGTCTTTTTTATTTTAACCTTTTCTTCTCTCTGAGATGGGTCTATCTGGGCCACTCATCTGTTTGTTTGTTTTACAACTTCCACCTTCCAGATCCCATGTAGTTGCCCAGTAGCAGAGAGGCAGAAAACCCCGGGTACCTGTGTGTAGACCTGTCTCCAGCCACACTGAGAGCACAGAGCAGGCCTGCCCTGCCACACGGGAGCTGAGAGAGAGCCATCTGAGGGTCGGGCTCACATCATACCGTCAGCCGACTTCGTGTCCACCAGTGTTTTCTTGCCAAGGCCCATAGCAGTCCCTCACTTCTCCCTTTCCTCACCATTCTGGGCATGACGTTTTTCTTCTGTCTTCCTTCCCTTGGCTGTTTTCCCACCTCTCTGGCCTCCATGTCTGTCATTCATTCTCTGCTCACCCTGCAATGCTCTGCTACGTAGGCTGCATTGGTGTGCCGTGAGTTGTGCACGTATCTGTATGTAGTCCTGAAGAGCCAGCTGCTTACTTGCAATCAGATTTTCCTGGGCCTGGACAGAGCCTTCTGACAGCTGAGCTTGACAGCAACAGCTGATGCGCTGTTTAAACCCTGCTTAAACGAGTGAGTTGGAGACCTCGCCTCTGCTTCCAGTACTGTTCACCATCATTGTGTCTTTACCCATCATTGGAAGTACTCTGTACTGCGACTTTTTGAGGCCCAGGACTGACAGTGGGCCCTTCCTCACTGATCCTGGCCCCCTCATCCTGCCAAAGGTCAGTGGACTCACTCACTGTTGTGTCACAGACTCCGAGGTGATGGACTTGCTGCCTCTTACTGAAGTCAGCACGTCCTTCACTAGCATTTCTTTGCTTTCAGGTTGTTGGTGTGAAGCAGTGAGGAGGCCCCTTCTGAGCAGAGTGTTTTTGTTGAATTAGTGTCAGAGTTCAGGGCTCTTGGGTCCTGTGCACCTATCCAGAAAGCTCACCCATGTGACACAGATGACCTGCTCTTGAAAGGCATTTTAACACCTGGATGAACAACAGGGGCCGTGCCCTGCACTGAACCTGGACATATGTGACCCCTGTGGGTGAGGATTCCTGTTGAGTGAAAACTTTCATTAGCACCAGAAACCACAGTGGTAAGAATCCTATCAGTGAAGATGATGATGTGGCCTCACGTATGAAGAGCTGTGCTGCCCATGAGTTAGGGAGATCTTTTACTTGCGGGGCAGTGATGGATGTGCCGAACTCTGGCCTCTTCCAGCACCAAAGCACTCACAGTGGACTGAGTCCACAGAGAAGAGCTGAGTTCGTGGAATCTTTTCACAGAAGTCCAGTCTTGGGTGACACCAGGGAGAGAGTGATGAACCGATGCTTTTCAGTTGCACTGACAATGAGAAAGCCTTCCTGAACGCTTTCACTCTCCTCGACAACCAGATAACTCAGGATGAAGTGCGAACCTTTAGGTACCTACCGTGTGGAAATCTGTCCAAGGAGAAATCCGCTCTTATTCATCACAGAAAACTTCCCGGTGGGGAAACATCACATGTGTGCAAGGAGTGTGGACAAGCCTTCCTTCACCTGTCTCACCTAAAAACCCACCAGAAATTTCACACTGGCAAAAGACACTATATGTGCAGTGAATGTGGAGAAGCTTACAACAGAAGCTTGCACCTTGTTCAGAACCAGAGAACTCACACCAGAGAAAGACCTTATGAGTGCAGTGAATGCGGAAAAGCCTTTAGTCATAAAAACACACTTGTTCAGCACCAGAGTTCTGGCGAAAGGTCTTATGACTGCACTGAATGTGGAAAAGCCTACAGCAGAAGCTCCCACCTTATGCAGCACCAGAGATTTCACACAGGGGAAAGGCCTTATGAGTGCAGTGAATGTGGAAAATTCCTTAGCCAAAGCTCTCACCTTATTGAGCACTGGAGAAGTCACACCAGGGCGAGGCCTTATGAGTGCATTGAATGTGGAAAATTCTTTAGCCATAACTCCAGCCGCATTAAACATAGGAGAGTCCACACAGGAGCAAAGTCTTATGTGTGCGGCAAATGTGGGGAGACTTTTGGCTGCAAAGACACACTTGATCAGCACCAGATAATGCACACTGGAGCACGGTCTTATGAGTGCAGCGAGTGTGGGAAGGCCTTCAGCTGTAAACACATGCTTGTGCACCACTGGAAAATCCGCACTGGAGAAAGGCCTTATGAGTGCAGTGACTGTGGAAAACTCTTTAGCCATAGCTCCAACCTGATTGTGCACCAGAGAATTCACACTGGAGCGAAGCCTTATGAATGCAGTGAATGTGGGAAATGCTTTAGCCACAAGTCCATCCTCATTCTACAAAAGACACATCACAGTAGAACAAGGCCTTATGTGTGTAGTGAATGCAGAAAAGCCTACATTAGTAGCTCCTACCTTGTTCAACACAAGAAAGTTCACACTGGAGCGAGACCTTATGAGTGCAGTGAATGCAGGAAATTCTTTAGCTGCAACTCTAGCCTCATTTTACATCAGAGAGTTCACACTGGAGAAAAAGCCTTACATGTGCAGTGAATGTTGGAAGGCCTACAGCAGAAGCTCCCATCTTGTTCGGCACCAGAAAGCTCACCCTGGAGAAGGACGTCATGAATGCAACAGTCTTGGTGACCCTTTAGCTGCGTCTCTTAAACTTGTTTAACACTGAGAAACTTCAACTGGAGAAAGGCCTTATGAATGCAGTCAATGCGCTGTGTCCCTTTTTAAGATTATAGGACTCACACCAGCAAAGGTGGGAATCATCGTTGGTACAGAGACACTGAGATAATGGAGTGGGGATGACTGAGGCTTGTAAGAGGATGGGAGTCTGTTCTTAAGGCGGCGTCTCTATATGTCCCTGCAATTTTGGCTGTATGGCATGAAAGTATACAGAAATTCTCAGGACCTTCACACCTCTGAGTCTCCTGTGGCCGATACACTGTCTCAGTAAATAAAGGTTTGTGGATTCCTGTACCTCCCTAGGCTGTTTACCTTCTGGTCATCACTGCACAGGCAGGAACCCCAGCAGTGACATAAGAGAGATCCAGGGCTCAGGCTTCTCTGACCAGCCAACATTCCTAGTGACTGAAGTGGACGTGGACTTCATTGTTCTGCAGTTTTTGCTGATCCTGAGGCAGGGCTTATGCGCCTCCGTTGTGTGGAGAGGGATATGGTAGAACCAGAACAGTTGGCAGATGGGACTTTCCAAGAAGAATGGTAAATATAGATATTTATGGGGAATATTTAATTCTTAACATCTTTATTGAGGTATGGTGACATGAAATAAATATATGTAAAATATAAAATGTGTGGAGAGGGATATGGTAGAACCAGAACAGTTGGCAGATGGGACTTTCCAAGAAGAATGGTAAATATAGATATTTATGGGGAATATTTAATTCTTAACATCTTTATTGAGGTATGGTGACATGAAATAAATATATGTAAAATATAAAATGTGTTATATTTCAGCATGTGTATATACTGATGAGACCAGAAATGGAGATAATGGAGATATCCAACACAGCCAGGAGATTCCTTGTGTCTCTCTATAATGTTTCTTGCCCAGTCCTTTCTAACCCCCTTTCCCACAATTCACGAGTAATAGCAAGCATTTTGTACTATTTTATATAAACAAAACTATGTGATATATACTTTCTGGGGAGTGGGAACTCTGACTTTTTTCACGAGCCATAACTATTTTGAGATGGATCCATTTTGCTGCATGTATCAATTATTCATTTGTATTGTTGAGTATTCATCCATTGTATGGATATACCACAATTGTCTTTTATCCATTTGCCAGTTAGTAGATATTTAGGTTGTTTCCAGTTTTAGGCTATCACAGATAAAACTGCTGTGACAATTTGTGTATAAATTATCACTGAATCACCTTCCATTGTATGGATGTACCACAGTTTATCCATTCACTGAGGGATATCTTGATTGCCTCCAAGTATTGGGACTATGACTAAACCTGCATTATGCATTGTTTTGTGTGGGTATACATTTTCAGTTCACTTGGGTTCAAGCCTCAGGGCATGATTTGCTGGGTCACATAGTAAGAGAATATTTAGTTTTATAAAAAAACTGCCTTTTAAAGTGATGGTATCATATTGCATTCCCACCAGCAGTAGGTGAGAGTTCCTGTTGCTCCATGTTCTTATATTTGATGTTGTCAATGTTTTGGTTTTTGCCATTCAAGTCAGTATGTAGTAATAGTATATTGTTGTTTCTTTCATTTGCAATTCTCTAATGACATGTGCTGAATATCTTTATATTCTTCTAACTGTCTTTTGCTGAACAGAAATTTTAAACTTTAGTCAAGTCCAAATTACTCAGTGTTTCTTTCATGGATTGTATTTTTGGTGTGTCTAATGCATCATTGCCTAACCCAAGGTCTGTGTCCCCTGTATTATTGTCTACGTGTTTTACTGTTTTGTATTTAGGCTTATTATCCATTTGAGAAAATATTTGTGAAAGGTATGAGGTCTGTGTCTGGATCACTCCCCCCCCCCCCCCCCCCCGTGTTGTGCAGCTTGTAGGGTCTTAGTTCCCAAACCAGGGATTTTAACCCATGTTCCCTGCAGTGGAAGCAGTGAGTCCTAACCACCGGATCATGTTTTAAAGCCCCATTTGTTGAAAAGACTATCCTTTCTTCATTCCTTTGCCTTTGCTCCCTTTGCAAAGATCAGTTTACTGTATTAGTGTGGATCTACTTCTGTCGTTTCTATTCATTTTTTGCACTTAGTGAGATAATCATCACGTGGCTGTTTTTTTTTCCTTGCTGTCTTTTATTTAAATGGTGCATGTGTGCTAAGTTGCTTCCATCATGTCCGGCTCTGTACACCTGTGGACTGTAGCCTTCCAGATTCTTCTGTCCATGGGAACTAATCTTACATTTCCTGCAAGAAATCCCATATGATCATCTTGTATAATCCATTGTATATATTGCTGAGTCATTTTTCTGATATTTTATTAATGTATTGTATAGATAGATGAATGGTAGTGGGTTTATAGATCTGTTTTTCTCTGACTTTGGCATCAGAGTAATTCTGATGTCAAAGAATAATTGTTTCCTCCTCCTCATTTTCTGGAGGAGTTTTGAAGGATGAATGATACTTCTTTTTTAAATGCTTGCTGGAATTCCTTAGTGAAGGCACCTAAGCCTGGAATTTTCTTGTGGGAAGACTTTCAATAAAAATACAGTCAAGTAATTTTTTCAGTTTTTTTCTCTTGAAAGGAACAGCTTTGGAGTATAGTTGATTATCAACATTCTGTTAGTTTCAGGTGGACAGCAGAGTGATTTGGTTATACATATACATGTATGTATTCCTTTTCAAGTTCTTTTTCCATCTAGGTTATTTCAGAGTTTTGAACAGAGTTCCCTGTACTATATATAGTAGGTCCTTGTAGGTTGTCTGTTTTAAATACAGAACTGTGTACATGTCAATCAACTCAATAATCTCTTGCATCCCCCTCCCCCACCACCACCCAAGTTTGTTCTCTAAGTTTGTGCATCTGTTTCTGTTTTGTAAATGTTTGTTTTTAATTTAAAAAAAAAAGTTTTTTTTTTTTAACCATTCCCTTATGATACCTTCAATTTCTCTAGTCAGTAGTGTCTTCACTCTTGGTTTTGTTGTCTTCTTTTCAGTCAACGTACAGTTTTGTCAATTTTGAAAGAACCATTTTTCTTCATTGATTTTTAAAAAGTTTTTTTTTTTGAATATTTTGTTCTAATTTTATCATTTCCTTTCTTATCTTTGCTTTGGGGTTTGGTCTTATTTTCTAGGTTTCTCAACAAGGAAGTTTAGGTTATTGACATCATTCTTCTTCTGTAATGAACTATAAATAAAGCTATACATTTCCTTTAAAAATTCCCCGTGTAATTAAGATATTGGGCAGTGTATAGTTTACTAAATCTCTTCCTATTAAATTTGCAGGGATGGTACAAGAGTGGGAAGAATGCTTATGATTTTTCAGTCCAAGTATGTACTGCTGAAATGGGGAAAATCTGGGTTATCTGAAATACCTTCCACTGTCAGGAAGAGATTGAGCTAAGCTGTTGGTGATTAATGTAGGACTAGCCTCCATGTCCACCAGAATTTGATGAGGATGACCATGTACAGTCAACTCATCTTGAGTACTAAAGGGTATGACAGATTATTGGGCACTTTCCTGTCCTCAGGCACCCTGTTTTGATTTGAGGCATACTCTGTCAGTTTTTCCTCGTAAGATAGGAAAATCTTTCTCCAGTGTTCATCCCATTTACTCACAAGTGTCCTTGCCCGTAGGCATTGGTTGGGATGTGGGCCCTTAGCCTCCGCTCATCGCCTGCAGGGACTCGTTTCTTTGGATCCCGTCTTATAACTATGCTAATCTGTCCTGAAAATCTACAACTTAAACATATTTTTGTTTCATTGATTAAACTGCAATCAATTTTTCCTTTTAATACTTCAGGTCTGAATTTTAGGAGCCTTAGACTTCCTTTCCTGACCTTTCTACGATCCTCAGCGTTTTTGTAAAAATAGAACTCCCCATCAATCCCTTCCTGATCAGTTTCCAATCAGCTTTTGTCACCTTATCACATAAGCTTAGCATCTTATGTTCCAGCCAACAAGGTTGTACAGGTTAGATGACCTTAGTTAGATATACCCTGAAGAATTCTAAATTTTTTAATAACTACTTGCTGGTTTATTTGGGTTGAGGAGAATCTGTAGTTATATAATTCAGCTCAGGTCCAAGGTTTAAATTCTACAATTTTCTGCATGTGACTCACAGCTGGGGTCGATCTTCAGAAGTAACTGGCATTTGGAGTTTTAAGAGGAATTGTTGGGAAAAGGTAGTGAAACTGTGTGTGCATGCTAAGTTGCTTCAGTTGTGTCTGACCTTATGGGCTGTAGCCCACCAGGCTCCTCAGTCCATGGGATTCTCCAGGCAAGAATACTGGAGTGGGTTGCCATGCCCTCCTCCAGGGGATCTTCCCAACCCAGGGATCAAATCCACGTCTCTTATGTAAGTCT